TTCTTTTTTCCCTTTTTTTTCTTCTTTTTCTTTTCTTCTTTTTAATTAAATAAATAAATAAAATAAATTATAATTAATTGTCTCCTTTGTGTCTCTTTATTGTCTCTTTTTCCCAATAAATATTAATCAATTTACATCTCCTTTTTTGTCTCTCTTTTTGTCTCTTTTTTTGTCTCCTTTTTATGTTATTTATTTATTTATTTTATTTATTTATTTATTTAATTATAATTGTCTCCTTGCTGTCTCCTTTTTATTATTTATTTATTTATTCTTCAATTAGTAGAGAAAAATAGATAATTAAATAAATAATAAAAAAGACAAGGTAAATAAATAAATAAATAAATAAATAAATAAATAAATAAATAAATATTATTTATTCATTTAATTTATATTTATAGAGAAAAAAACGAAGAAAAAAACAAAAAAAATAAAAAATACAAAAGGAGACAAAAGGAAGATCTTTTATTTTATTTAATGTCTCCTCTCTCCTTTTTATTGTCTTAATAAATATATCTATGTATTTATTTATTATTTATTTATTTTTATTTATTTATTTATTTACTTACTTATAGTACTATATACAGATATATATAAAAAATACCTTTTTCTATGTATAAAAAGGAATAATTATTTGTATGAGAACAGGGGCACACACAGGAGAAACAAAAGGAAAAAAGGGAGGAATTATATCTTAATAAACAATAAAAACAAAATAAATAAATAGATAATTAAATAAAGAAGGAGAAAGGAAGAAAAAAGAAGAAAAAGGCATATAAATAAGACACCATAGAAAGAAAGCTATGTATATAGATAGGATACGCATATGATAAGGAAAGGCATGTATAGAGAAAGAATATATTTATTTAAATATAAATAAATACATAGAAAAAAATATATCGTAAATAACTAATAAATACATAAAAAGTAAATAAAAAGAAGAAAAAATTATTTAATTCAAGAAAATATTCAATTTATGCATCCCTGTGTATAGAATAAAAAGAAGAAAAAGGAAATTTTTTATGCTTTCTTGGTGATTTTATGTTATTTTTTTTATTTTTTTGGTTTATTTTAGATGAATAATTGATTTAGAATATATTTATTAAATAAAATAAGTATTTTAATGATAATTTATATGATTTTATAGGGTATATTGATTCCCTCTGTCTGTCTCAGCCCCAATGGGGCTTGCTGCTGCTGAGGTGTACATACAGCCGAATAAAAAGGCAACTACAAACCCCCACACCATAAGACAAGAAGAAAAAGAAGACTTTGTTTATATTTTTTTCTTTTCTTTTTGTTTTGCATTGTTAAATTAATTTATTTTCTTTCATTATTTCTTAATTTCTTCTTTTTTACCTTTTTTCTCCTCTTTTTACCATAAAAAATGGTAAGCCTTATGATGATCATCATCCTGCATAATAGAAAGAAGAAACAAAAAGAAGAGTTCTTTCTTCATTTCTTTCCTTCTTTTTGTGTCTTTTTATAAATATTTTATTCTTTTTAATTTATTTTCTCCTTTTTTCTTTGAATTTCTCTTTTTTTTCTTCTTCTTACCCCTTAATAACACCGTGCAGTATCACTCCTCTCTGTGTCATTCTTTCCCCATATGAGTTGCCTATACACCTGAATATAATATACAAATAAATATATATTTATAAATGTGTTTTTTTTTCCTTTATTTCTTTATTTATAATATAAATAATAATCAATTTGTCTATTATTTATTCTTTTTTTCTTTTTTTTTGCATATGCAGAAACTTTTTTGCAAGGAGAAGGACTTTCATACAACAAAGGTTAGGCTTGTGGCCGCCTTTGCTGATATCCCTCTAGAGATTGTTGATGCAGGTATGCCCTATTTGCTGCTGCTGCTGCTGCTGCTTCTGCTGCTATACTTCGTGCTTCTGTACTTGCTTGCTGGTGTTGTTCCTGCAGTTGCTGCTGCAGTAGTAATAGTATATTGTTAATATCTTTTTTCTGTGTATGTGTACAGAGAAGAAGGAAGGAAAATGTGCAGGAGGAGAGTGTGCTGCTGCTGCTGCAGTAGCTGCTGCTCCTAGTTTACCTGTATTAGTAACAAGTAATGGTAAATATATATTCAGCAGCAGCGCAATAATACGTTATTTCTCTCGTATACACAGAGAGAAGGAGCTGTATGGACCTACAGTGCAGCAAGAAGGAGAGGTAGATGCATGGATAGATTGGTGTAAGGATAAATTAGAGGTACCTATACTTGCTGCTGCTGCTGCTGGTGCTGCTGCTGCTGCTGATATAAAGAAGCAAATAAAGGAGGATATAACTGCAGCATTTAATATATTAGATAAATATTTATTAACAAGAACATACATGGTAGGAGAAAGGATAACAGCAGCAGATATATGTATTGCTGCAATAATAATATATGCTGAACAGAATGCTGCTGCTGCTGCTGCTGCTGCTGCTGCTGTTGCTGCTGATTCAATTAAACAATTTATTAATCTTTCTCGTTGGTTAAATCTAATATGTAATCAAGATTCATTTAAGAAGATAATACCATCATGTTGCTGCAGCAGCACCAAGACAACAACAACAGCAGCACCAGCAGCAGCAGCACCAGCAGCAGCAGGAAGCAGCAGCAGCAGCAATACAGCAGCAGCAGCAGCAGCAGAGGAGCGTTGTTTTATAGATTTTAATGAATTTAAGAAGATATATTCAAATGCAAAGGACATAAGAAAGGAGGCAATGCCATATATATGGAACCATATAAGCAGCAGCAGCAGCGACAGCAGCAGCAGCAGCAGCAGCAGCAGCAGCAGCAGCAGCAGTAAGAAATGTTGCTGCAGCTTCTACTATATGAGATATGATAAACTAGAGGATGAATGTAAAGTTTTATTTCTTACAAGTAATCAATTAGGGGGATTCTTACAAAGGATGGATAATTCCTTAAAAAAAGATTCATTTAGTGTAATAAATATAACAAAAGAAATAGGGAAAAAAGGAGAAAAAGGACAAGAAAAAGAACAAGAAAAAGGACAAGAAGAAGAAGGATATAATATAGAAGGTGTTTGGTGGTTTAATACTAAAAATATACCACAAACATTCAAAGATAATCCTAGTTATGAATATAATACATTCAAAACCCTAAACCCTAATCTAAACCCTAATGATAAAACCCTAATTGAAGAATTCTTCTGTAATGATGATTATGTACAAGGAAGACCTATTGCTGATTGTAAGGTATGGAAGTAAATTGCTGCAGCAGCAGCAGCAGCAGCAGCAAGAGGAGGAGAGGAACAGCAAGAGGAGGTGGTGTGGTGGTCATGCTGGTGGTACAGGAGGGGCAGGAACAAAAGGAAAGGCTTTATTAGGGTTTATTAGGGTTTATTAGGGTTTATTAGGGTTTATTGCAAAAGCAACAAAAATATTATTATTATTATTCATAAAAAGATTATTTAATTTAATTTATTTAATTTATTTATTTATTTTATTTATTTAATTAAATAAACCCTAATTATTATTATAAATGTCCTTTTATATGAACTTCTTTCTCTTGAGGGTTATTGACGGGTATTATTAGGGTTTATTTAGGGTTTATTTAGGGTTTATTAGGGTTTACGGGTAGGGTAGACAGGGATTTTAGGGTTTAGGGTTTACAGGGAAAAAATGTTGACAAAGAACAAGAACCGCGTATTAGGGTTTAGGGTTTAGGGTTTAGTTGTTTATGGGTATAGTGTACTAGATGGAAACAAGGAAGGGTTTAGGGTTTACGGTACAATAAATAGTATAGCTGCTACAGACAAACCCTTCTAGGGTTTAGGGTTTAGGGTTTGCTATATACCCTTTTATATATTTATTTACCTTATTGTATTTATGGCATTAATATCTTCTATAAACCCTAAGGCGGTTTATTATTTAGGGTTTACGGTTACTGTATACTAGTAGACTTTAGGGTTTAGGGTTTCCGGCTTATTAGGGTTTTTTTAGGGTTTAGGGTGTCTGGGGATATAAACCCTTATTTTTAGTGGCATTAAGCCAATATAAATAAAATTATTAAAGTATTTAATTGTATTTTATAGTATAATTAAATATTTTATTATTTTCCCTTAGGGTTTAGGGTTTAGGGTTTACGACAGTTTATTAGGGTTTACCATGGTGTCTGGCAAGATGAATAAACCCTTGTATTTAGGTGTTTTAAAGGAAATAAATAAAATAATTAAATAAATAAATTATATTTATAATTATAATTAATTATTTAATTAAATAATTATATTTATTTGCATGCAAAATGTTTTTTCTTTCTCCTTTTTCTTCTTCGTGCGTTCGTTCTTCTTTTTTCTGCTGCTGCTGCTGCGGTGTATATACAGCTCGGGTGTAGGGCTTTTTATCGGTGCATTTACTTCCTACATTTTCTCGTCTTTTTGATTAAAATGATTATTTTTGTCTTTTTAATTTAAATTTCATTAAAAAAAAGGAAAAAATACGTTATTTTATGTATTTTTTCCTCTTTTTTTTGTATAAATTTCTACCTAGGGTAGTATAGTTGTAGGGTGGTGTGTTGCGGTGTATCAGCAGCTACAGCTTTTTTTTTTTTTTTTTTTTTTTCTTTC